CGACACGGGAACGATACGTGTGGCCACGGGGAGGGGACACCGGGAGGATCATAAGGGAGACAAGGAGGGGACACGGGCAACGCACAGAGGAGACGCAGGGGGCAGACACGGCGGGGTGACACGGCGGGGACACGGACACAGGGGGGACACAGGCAGGGGACACCGGGAGGATCACAGGGGAGAAAAGGAGAGGGACACAGGGAGGGCACGCACGGGGTGACATCTCCCCCTGCTGACGCTGCCTCAGTTTCCCCCTTTCTCCCTTCCAGGATCCCCCAAAATTCCCCCCGAGCCCCTCCGGGACCTTCCTGGCCCTGTCCCCGCCCTCTTCATCCTCCTCCTCCCACCGCCCCCCCGTTAACCAGGAACTCCCAAGCTCGGGGGGAAAAGAGGGGTGTGACCCACCCCATGGGGACCCCTAAAGTCGAGGACAAGGGGGAGGCTGAGACTCCCCCACGGGATCCCCAAATTCGGTGGGAAAGGGGATGGATCCTCAGCCCCTGCAACCCCCAAACTCAGGGCAGGGGATGTAGGTTCGGAGGGGCTCGAGGGACCCCACACAAGCCCCGAATGGGCTCCCCAGGGGAGTGCAGGAACCCCAAATCCTTGCCTCAGAATGCTCCTGTGGGGAGCTCGTTTCAAGGGGAGGAATTGGAGAGGCTGGAATGAGGGTACAGGGGGTTTTGGGAGGCGTTGGGGTGGCGCTTATTGAAGCGGGGGCATTTTGGGTTGCAGGGGGGGAATTGGGGTTCAGGAGGGGAACTGGGGAGGGGCTTTTTGGGGTGCAGGAAGAGGATTTGGCTTTGAGGGTTTTGGGCTGTATAGAAGGGACTGGGGGGCCTGATCGGGCGCCCCTCCCAGTGGAAATTGTCAGGGTGCCCTTCTCCCAGCCCCTGGGGTCCTCGCAGTCCTTGGGGCCCTTCCCCCTGCCCTGCCCCGCCCCGGCCAGGACAAACCCCCCTTTGTAGGGCCAGAGCCGCCGCGGGGGGGGCCCCGCATTCCAGCGGCGGGGGAGGCGGGTTCCAGCATTCCAGCGGTTGGGAAGAGCCAGGAAAGAGGAAGGGCCGGGGGGGGGCATCCCAGGGCTCAGTGCAATGCCCGCGCCCCCAATTAATTACCGTTAATCAGCAGGGGCAGAGGAGGAGGAGGGAAGCAGAAAAAGATCAGGATGAAGGTGAAGGAGGAACAATGAAAAAGGAGGAAGAGGATGAAGAATTAGGGATGAGGAGGAAGGAGATGGAAGGAGGAAAGTGAAGGAGGAAGAAGAAGGAAAAATGGGAAGGACAGAGGGAAGAAGGAAAGAGTAGGAAGAATGAGGTGGAAGGAGGAAGGTAAAAGGGAAGAAGATGGAATGATGGAGGGAGGAGGAAGAAAAAAGGAAGAGGAAGGGGGGAGGAGGAAGAGAGGATGGAAGGAGGAGGATGAAGAAGGAAAAGCAGGAATAAAGAAGGAATAAAGAAGGATGGGGAAGGAGGAGTCAGTGGGACAAGGAAGAAGGAGGAGGAATGGAATGACGAAAGAGAAGGATGGAAGAAGGGGAAAGGAAGCCCTTTACCAGAGAGGAAGGCCAATGTTGGGACAGGAAATTCCCCCTGGGAGGCTTTGGGAACTGCCCCATTTCCCTTGGAGGGGGGTAGGAGAAGGGCAGAAGGATTTAGGGCTTTCTGGATCTTTTTAAGCTCATTTTATTGGAGAAAACAGAACAGCCCCCAACCTGGGGGAGAACCCCTAAACACCCCCCTAGGGACTCCAAAACTCCCCCAGGACTTCCCAAAACCTCTGGGAAAGTTCTTTTTACACTTTTACAGCCCACTCCAAATCCCAAAATCTCAGAATTATCTTGAGGCTCTGGGTTAGAAATCCAGGTTTTCCTGTGTAAAGGGTGGGGTTTGCATCCCAAAAACTGGGCAGAGGAACTGGGGGGACACCTGTGAGCAGGAGGATGATAAAGGTGCCCAGGCGAAAATCGACATTCCAGAGGGGAGGAAAATGGGGGGTGGAGGGGGACCCCAGACCTTGAAGGATTTGGTGGGGGATTGGATGCCTTCTCATCCTTGTTTTGGAGGAGCTCCAGTGAGTGGGGTGGGAGGAAGGCCAGCTCTTCCTCACCCCTTATTCCATTGAAAACATGGAGGGGGGGCTGCTTTTCCTTTGAGAAAACTCTGGGAATTACCCCTCCTGCCCCACCTTGCTGATTCTGGGGTGATTCCCGTGCGTTCAGGGTGGGGTTTTCCGGGATTTAAGAAGCCGTAGCTGAGGGCATTGATGAGTTTTAGGCTTTATTTCCATCTCGCCTGGATCAAGGTTGGGATTTTTGGGAATCTCCGGAGGTTCCCGTGGTGGCTGAGGAGGAGGGGGAGGAAGCTTTTACTCGGCTCCTTCTTCATCATCACCTTCATCCTCCCCATCCATGGAGAGCGCGGCATATTTGCTGGCGTGGCTGAACTGAAGGGAAAACCAGGAAAAATTCCCAAAAATGGGATTTCAGGGGGATAAAGATCCCCAGGGGCTCGCACATCCCAAAACCAGGGGTCACAGCCCCCCAGAAGGGGCCAGAGACATCCCAAATTGCTGGGGTGGTTAAGCTGAGAGGGCCAGGGGGGGTCATTATTGGAAAACAATTTCCCAAGCCCTCAAAAAAAACAAGATTTGAAGAGGAGGAAGACACCCAGGGGGTCATTCACCCCCAAAAGGGGTCTCAGACTGCCCTTTTGTGCCTCAGACTGCTGAACTGTGGGGGTGGGCAGAGGGAGGAGAGCAGTGAAGCAGAAAATTCCCAAAATACCTCAAAAAATGAGATTTGAGGGGTTGAAGTCCCCTGGGAGTTCATTCATCCTAAAGAGGGGTCGCAGCCCCCCAGTTAAGTGGAGGCACGGGGGGTCAGTTATGGTGGAAATTCCCCAAAATCTCCCAAACCTGAGATCTGAGGGGGGTCCCTCCCTCCCCATTTTGGGTCCCCCTGAATCCTTACAGAGGGGGGAGTCTCCTCCAGTTTCTTTGGCTCGTGCTCCTTCCGGGGATCTCTCCTGCGGGGCAGAGGGCAGAGATCAATTCCCGGGGAAATTCCCAGTGCCTGGGGGGGCTTCCTGGTTCCTGAGGGGGGTCTGGGGGAGGCCTCACCTCTCAGGGTCCCCCATTCCCACGGGGCCGCGGCTGCAGCTCCGGCCCTTGGAGCTGTTCTCCCGGCCCCCCTCTGGCTTCAGTTCGTCTGCTGGAAAAGAGTGAAGGGGGGTGTCACAGCCCTCAAAAGCCCCTGAGCCCCTCAAGCCCTCCTGAACCTCCCAGCAAGGCCTTGACATCCCTGGAACACCCCCAACCCCCTTCAAAACCCCCACAAAATCCCTCAATCTCCCAGCTCCCCCGATACCAACCTCCCCCCAAGCCCCCCCAAAGCCGCCTGAGCTCCCCCTAACACCCTCTGAGCCCCCCAAATGCTCCCAAAACTCCCCCAAATCTCCAAAACCATTCTCACCTCTCCTT